GGAAGAGGAACGAGAGATGGAGAAAGGAGGGAGAGCTGGAAGTTTTGCGGCTTTGTCAAGATCATTGGTAACAACATATCACAAACTCATGAGCTTTTCCTTATTGATAGTGTGGGAACTGGTGTGCCCAGGGCAGGGCTGCCCAGATGAACTAATTAATGCCATTAATGTCATTTATCCATCTCTTCTGGCGCTTATCGGATGTTGTGAGGCCCTTTGGACTTTTTTCCTCTTGACTTAACTGCCTTTAAGGCACAAGTGCAGCCCTGAGGGACCATCCCTGCACAAATCCTGACCAAGCAGGGTGTCCCTGGTGTCTCCAGGGCCTTTGGAGGAGTTAAACATTAACTCCTGGCCAGCTCCATCCGTCCAAGGTCCAGGAGGAGCCTGCATTTCCTGTTCCTGCCCTTTCCTGGTGATTCACTTGCTCCTCCTCCCTGCCAGGAAGTCTTTGGCCTGGATGGAGCGGTGAGAAGGTGGAACAGGGACACCTGAGCTCTGAATGTACCACTGGAGATCAGCCCCTGATGCCTGAAGGGTTTCCTGGCTGGAACATAACGTAGCAAGAAGGGAAAATCCTGGGTACCAAAAGACCCACCTGAGCTACAGAAAAATGCCCTCACTTAGTGTAGCAGTGCCAAGCTGGTGCTCCTGGCAGGAATCCCCGTGAGCCTGTTGTTGTCCTGCTGTCTCCTGCTTGGATTGTTTTATTTGATCACATTAAATAAAAAGATAAAACCTTTTTCCCTGTGGCCCAGCAGCAGGGCAGGAGGCAGATGGGAAGAGCTGGTTTATTTGAAATTATAGCACAGTTTTTACACTCCAGCCTTGCCAAGGCTTTGGGTGTAGCCAGAGTCTGCCACAGGAGACGGATTGCTCAGGGCTGGCTGCCCCTGGAGCTCCACGGATCAGAGCAATGACAGCTCTGAGCTGCCCAAGGCACATCTCCCACACTGGGACTCAGTTTTGCCTGGAAAAGCTACTTCAGCACCGATGGAAGTTTGTGAAAATACAGTGGCACAATCTCTGCTGAGCTCAGGCCCAGAAGCAGAGCCAAGAGTCTCCCTGGCTTTGGATAAAACTTTGCTGTGGTTACCGGCATCAGGGGATCATGTGATGGCAGCTGATCTCTCCAACCTCCAACGTTCTCACTCCAGGCCTCTTCTGCTGCACAAAAACAGCGTCTGAGTGTTCAAAAACATCGTCTCCCTGCTCGGGTAATCATTTATTGATAGCAGAATTATCAGCCAAGTGTTGTTGAGGAAACTGCCACTGCTGGTGTTTCTGATCCTGCCAGGCCTTTTCCCAGCCACAAACCTTCAGCACCCTCACTTAAAGGGATTTCCAAACAGACAGTTTCTCCCTCCAGCCCAAGGACACGCTTTGGCCTGCTCAGCACAACATGCCACGTCTGTTGATTCTTCAAGTTTGGGTTCTCAGCCCAGGGAATTAAGGGGGAATCAGGTCTAAGCTGGACTCTGAGCCCCTTTGAACCATGCTGATGGAGAAATGCATGTCTCAAAATGACTTTAAAGGCACTCTAGGCAGAGAGAAGAGCAGGAACCCGTCAGCTGGGAGCTGCTGTCCTCTCCAAAAATCTCTCTCCTGTAAGGAACACAGCCCTGGATTTTTCTGGGACCCTCTTCCTGAGGGATAATGCAGGGTAAGGACAGGCAGAGTCAGCTCTGCCACAGGGTTGGTCCTCTGGAGAGATGAAAGGGAAGTGGTTTGGTGGCCAAATGAAAGTCGTGGCTTTAAAGAAGAATTAAAGCCAGATGTTTCCAGCAGCTGCTGAGCCCAGCCTTTTGTGTCAGAGGCACCAAGGAGGCCCTGGCAGCATCTGCACAGCTCCGTGGTGGGAACACCCTGTAATCCTGAAGGCTCCACCACGGTGCTGGAGGCTCCCTGGCTGTCTGGGAGGACACAACAAGAGCTGAGGCAGAGATAGTGAAGCCAGCTCGATATTTATTCCATGTCTAAAAATATTTATTCCTTGCTGATAGTGGGGATAGCAGCAGAGGGGTGGTAATTAAATTTAGCACCTTTGGACAAAATATTGGGGCCAAGAGGTGGTTGAGCCATGTTGGCATCAGCTCTGCAGGCACAGGGCAAGATGTGGGGAACAGCCTTGAGCAGGTTGATGCCCAGGTAACCAAGAGAGAAATCTGCTGTGCAGGGACCTCATCACAGTCAGGAGCAAGAAAAAAATCCTGCCTTTCTTGTGGTGTTTGTATTTGGCTGGGACTGAGTGAGTGCCCATTCCAGAGTGGATGGAACACAGGTGAAATAGCAGGAAAAGGGAAGCTGACTCCTTGTTTCAGCACAGTCATGGAGGGAGCAGCACTTCTCACTGTGAGGGAGAGCCCAGACCTCGGGGCTGCTCGTGGAAGGTTCCAGCTCACACCCAGGAGCCATAAATCTCTCCCAGCGCTGCTCCTACTGCTCCTTCACACTCTGCCTCGTGGTTGTAACATTCACTCCTGGCTTCCTAAGGCCAAATTCCTGGTGCCCTCGGCGCTACCCTGAGGTGGAGTTTCCTCTTATGAAATCAGCGGGTGTCCTGTTGGCTCTGAGGGCTGGGAAAGGCTCCGTGTCGTGGTCCTCATCTTCCTCCTGCCCCATCCTGGCTTCTGGGATGCTCCTGCTCTAGAAGAGCAGGGGAGATGCCCTTGAATCCAGCTGGATCCTTTCTGCTGGAGAACGAGGAATAAATCCATAAGGTGCGCCTGAAGCAAGGAAAAGTCAATAGAGCAGAGGGAGGTTGGTGACAGGAAATCCCAGTTTTTACTGGCATCGGCTCACATCAGATAATCTGACTACAACAAGAAAGAAATCGCTCCATATTCTGATTCCATGGAGCTGGGTGAGGAACTGCTGTAGGAAAGGAGATTCTTGCCTTGCCCTTTGCTTGTTCTCAGACTGGGATGTCTCATCTGTGTGTCCACCAGTTTGCTCTGCTCTGGAACACCCTGGGCAGGAGGAACGATTGTTTCTGCCGTGATTCCAAACCCAGCTGTTGGGAGAAGCTTTTAGGAGCTCCTGGGCTGCCCTGGATGGGGCTCAAGGGGGACTAACAGCAAAGAACCTTCCCCAGTGTAAACAGAGAACTGGTTTCACCTCCCAACAGGTGGCAAAAGGGGTCTGCTGTGGACTGAAGTTGGGCAGATCTTGGCAGCAAGAGCATTCCAGAATGGGTTTTGCAGTGCAAGAACAGTCCCCTCCCATTTATCCCGCTCCAAGTTATTTATTCGACCTCTACGCCTTTCTGTTTCTTTTTCTTTCACTCCTCTGTGTCTTGGAGCTGCTCCCCAGGGAACACCCAAGGATCTGCCAGCTGGGTGTTTGCTGGCCAGCTTGTGCTCCGTGTCTAATCTCCTCACTGGACCCTGATTATTCCCTGGCTCCGACTTATCCACAGGGATCTGTCCATCCCTAATTGCAGGTGATGGGGTTGGTGGGGTCCCTCATAGGGCACTGATTCACGGCAGGGAACCTGAGGGCTGCAATCTCCATCCTCCACCCACACCGCAGTGTTTGAATTCTCTTACCAAAACCAACAAGTTGCCCGTCAATACGCTGTAATAAATTTGGTGGATCTTTCTCTAAAGCAAAGTGAATTCAAGGTGTGTTTTCCTGGCAGGAATCCCCTTGGAGCATCATTCCTGCCGCTCTCCCCGTGCCTTTGGGGATGGACACCCAAGTCGGGGCGTACGACAGGACTTTGTGCTTGGGACTTTGCTCAGCCCTTCTGACACCTGAGCTCAGGTGTGTGATCCCCGCAGTGGGAGCATCACCTGGGCAAGGCACAGAACGGACAATTTGGGCTCCATCCTGACAATCCCTTCCCAAAAAGCCGAGCTGAACTCGGCCTGACTTCTCCAGGACACTGCCGTGGCCTGGTGCCCTGTCTATATCGGTGCTGTCTGGAGGAAATCCTGATTCTGTGGCATTCCCAGCGGAGCCACGGCCCCTTCCCAGCACTTCCCCACCCGTTCCTGGCCGGGGCGAGCCCTGGCAGCCGCTCCGGCCCCTTCCCCGCCGGGCCCACCCGAAAACTGGGAAAATCGGGGAAAAAAGGGACCGGAGCGGGCGGTGGGGTCACAGCGGGGTCTGACCGCTGCGCTGCGTGCATAAAGGATTTTGAGTTCTGTAATTATAAAAAACAATTAACGAACTAACCAACAACACCCCCCAAAACCCCAAATCCCAGAATTTTCCACAGCGCGGCTCACGACCCTTCCACTCCCTTAGCGGGGGACGCCGCTTCCCCCGCGCGGCGCTGCAGCCACCGCGCCCTCTGGCGGAGCCNCGTTAATTGCGTTAATTAAACAGTGGGGGTGGTTTATGGCGCGGGAGGGGGCGGTTCTGCCGTTCCCCGGTGCGCTGGGTCCGGGCGGGACGAGGAGCGCGGCCCGGCCCGGCCCTGGAGGTCACCGAGGAGGGCGGGCGCCGTGTCCGCTGTGGCCCGGGACCGGGCTTCACCCGCTCACGGCGTTTCACGGGTTCGGTGAAGCGGTTTCAACCTTTGCTGAACGAACCCGGGTGGCCGCTATAAACTTTGCACCGAGTTTTGTCCCAAAACGTGCGCGGAGCGAAGAGCTGCCGGGGCCGGGGGAGTAACGGAGGGAGCGGGCGGGCGCTGGGCCGTGTCTGCTCCAGAGGCTTCAGCTCGGGGGCGATTCTGCTCAGGGGTTTTGTTCGGGGGACGGCTGAGGTGGTGCTCACACACAGACACCAACATGTGCTCCGTGGTTAGGAACCTCTAAATAAAGCAGTTTGGGAAACGCGTTCTTTTTCTCAAGCAAATCAGCTCAGTTCCTCGGCTTGGTGGAGAGGAATAAAAGTTGTCGCGAACACGGTGACAGGTCTGGAGAATTGGGGATTGCAGTGTTCTGCTGGAAGAGGAACTGCTGAGGCTGATGGGAGGCACGAGCAGCTGCCTCATCCCGGGCTGAGCGTGGTGAGAGGCCCCTGCGAGCGGCGGGTGCACGAGGCAGGTTCTGGAATGCAGGGATGGGGATGGGAGCTGGAGCAAATCAGGGTGCACATGGCTGCTGCTGCTGTGGATGGGAGCTGGAGCTCATCAGCATTTCGGGATTTTTAGGGAGTCCTAAAGCACAAACTCAACTCTGATCTTCCTTTGATAGCGTTGGGGGTTTATGTGATCTTCGTTCTGGAAGCCTCAATGATATTGAATTTTGAGTTTCTGAGGACTTTCTGGGCTTTCTGAAGGTTTCTTTTCACTGCTAGGACAGAGAACTGGAGTTCACGTGTCCTGGAATGCTGCAGTTGGATGCTTGGGATCAGACAGCAGCTTTATCTGGGGATCTTTTGGGATGCCTGGAAAATAAGGCACAGGATGGGTGGAAGTCCCGAGGTTTTCAGGGGGATTGGCTGGGTTCCTGTGGCTCTCAGTGTTTGTTTTAGACCTACTTGAGGTGTAAACGATTGTGCCAGATCCCTTCACATTGTGTGAGGGGGAATTGGGTTTCCTTCAACATCCTTTAGTTCCAAATCTCTGCAGTGATGGCTGTGGAAGGGCTGTAGAAGGCTCCTGCTGTTCCATGCGTTTATGTTTGGGGCAGCCCCTTTTTCTCCCTCTAAGCCAGGATCTGTGTGCTGTTAACAATTAATAATTAGGTGCACTAGGAATATTAATAAATGCATCAAAATTGAATTGATAATGGCTGCTGGGCTCCAATCAGATGGGTATGTGCTCCTAATTCCGTATATTTATAATTTACTGGGGAAATGGGAGTCTGTGTGTTTCAGGTGGGTGAGGTGCTGCCTGTGATATTTCCTGGTTAGAAGGCCAGGACTGTGGGAAGCACTGAGTGGTTTTGGCCCTCTCGAGCAGGTGAGGCTTCCTGTGACCCCACAGTGGCCCTGTTCACACTCCTCTGACACAGGTACCACCTTCAGACAGCACAGCTGTGCCTTGGCTTTTCCAAGGGGTGGAGGAGGCTCCTCTGGGCACGGGGGAGCCGATGGAAAACCCTGCAGCTCCTGCTGGGAGCGATGCTCCTGTGACCACTGAAATTACTGTGAGAGTTACCTGGAACTCTGAGAGCACTGAACTGATACCTGAAATCTGCCAGCAGCTCTGAAGGAGTTCTGTGTGTTGGTTTGACACCGATTTCTCCTTATCCAGCCTCTGAGTGTGCATGACTGGGCTCAGAGAAGGAGGTTACTCTGTGTCTGAGCCCCTCGGGGTCCCTACCTGCCTGTCCCCCAGCCAGCACAAGGCTTCTCTTGGCTGCCTCCCGGAGCTTTGCTGACCTTGGGGTTTTTCCATCTGCTTACGTTTCCATTTCTGGAAAAGGGTTCGTTTCTCCCCTCGCAAGTTTGGTTAAATTCTCTTCTGGATTTTTTGCTTTGATTCTGTTTCAGAGAGGTTGTCTACTCCAGGAAATCTGTCACAAGCTTTTGGTTAGGATTTTGGTTGCAGAATAATTCGACTTAATATTAAAATTGAATGCTGTAAAACTCTTGAGTGCCTGCATTTTTGTTAATTGAATATGCTTAAGTGTAATTTAAATGTAATTACAATAAGAAAAATATCCTTTGCCTTGTTCCAGAATGAGAATTTTCTTCAATAGCCAATTTTTAGGAGTTGCTGGAGGAGAATCTTTGATCCACGTTTGCTGGAAGTAGCATGAGCAAGAGAGGAAGCTGTGCTGAGGAGGAGAGCTTTGTCAGCTCGTGGATCCCAGCGAGTGTTCCCAACCTTTGTCACTCTGTAAAGCTTTAACCTCGTCATGAAAGTTCCCGATAGCAGCTGGGAGGATCGTGCTGCAGCCAATCCCACGGGCTCGGCGTTTGTAGCCTCAGTTAAATAAGCAAGAATTGATATTTTGGCTTTCTCTTCTGAAGAGCCGCTGGCCAGGACGGAGCGGGTTTGCTCATGGAGCGCAGCATGAATTTCCCAAAAGCTGATGTAAATTAGGGACTTTTTATCCTCTCCAGTCCGTGGGGTTTTGCTGTTGAGTGAGAGCAGGGCTGGAGCCTGCTGGGCTGTTACAGCTCACTGTTTCTAGCACAAGGGGAAGTGGCCCACGCTCTGTTCCAGGTGTGTGTCTCAGCCATTGTGTTTGTGATCCATTCACCACTTCATCAGCGTTGCTTTCAGTCCCAATCACCTCCAGAAATGCAGTAACCACCCTGAAGTGTTTCAGTTTCACTTTATCACATTTATTTCTTCAAATTACTTTAGGCCTGAGCTCAGTGCTGCCCTCAGAGATGTAGGTAGTGAGGCATAGTTTATTTTTAGAAAAGAATGAATCATCTCTTGGATGTGTCTTGTCTCTTTATGCTTTGTTGAGAAGTAAATTCAAGGAACTGGGACCTGCTGGCTCTGGATCTGTGAGCAGGAGCCCATGTGGGCAGGTGAGACGCTGCCCCAGGAGTGACCAGAAGCTGAGCAGAACTTAGTTTGGAACTGCAGAACTGCAGTGACAAAGCCTGTGGGTGCAGCAGGTTACTGAGTTTTGCTTTGCAGGCTGGATTTTTGGGGAGCAACTACTCAAATCTGCAAAGGGAAATACACGTGTGTCCTTTCACCCTGAACTATTTAGTTTCCAGCTCTGCTCCTGGGCAAAGATTAACAGGAGGGGAAGACTGTGTTGCTATGTGGATTAAATCAGTTGTGCGTGGGGGGTTTGAATCTCAGAGCTTTGCAAAAACCCTGGTCTTTGTTTTGCTTCTCACATGGTTGTCTTGAACCTCTCCAGTGTTTGGAGACTTCTTGTTACTGAGCTGGGGCTTGTCCTTGCAGCAAACAGCTCTGGCACGAGGTGTGACCTTGGCAGAGGAATTATCTCTAAAGCTATTGCAACTGCTTCCTTATCCTTGTGCTGTGTGTTTGAGGCCTGGTGGTGAGCCACTCCTTAACTTCAGAATCCAGGAGCCTGGCCTCTGACATATCCAACTTGCTTATCTGTGCCTTTTTGGATATGAGCTGGATTAATGGCTTTCACCTTTTAAAGTCCAGCAAATTGCAGCAGTGAAGTGGAGCATCGTTCAGTGGCTGGAGGAACTGTTTCAGCTGCTTGTGGGGTGTTGGGATATCTTGGGGGGAGAATTTTTGCAAAAGGGTAGTTTTATTCACTACCCTGTAACCATAGTTGTTTCTTCATTATGTGGAAGAAACAAAAGCCATGTTTTTCCTCTGTGCTGCTGCTGGATTGCTGGATTCCTCACCCAAATGCCTTTGAGCAGCTCTGGGAGAGGGATATTGAAGGACTCTATCTTGTGCTGTGGGAATGAGCATTTCTCTGTGTCAGGGGCCAGGCTGGAGTCTTGCAGTTCTTCTTGTCTGTCTCATATGTAACCCTCTCACTCTAATTATGGTCCTTGCTGCCCAGACCCAAAGTGAGAAGATCCTGTTCTCTCCCCAGCAGGCTGGGATGGTGTGTAAGTTTGTCTTGGCAATTCAAAATCTTTTCATCTCCTTGGTTACAAGTTTAAGGAAATGATTAGTGTCTGTTGATGTGTGTAAGATTCCTGGGGGCATGGGGTAAGTTCAGGAGGAATCCTGGCACAGCACAGGTGATGCTTGGTTAGTACAGATGTCACTAATTCCGTTAAGTTATACAGTTTCTTCTCCTTGACATATGTTTTTTTACCTTCCTTTCTAGGAAGGGGTCTGGAGGAGGGAAAATTTCCCTTTCTGGTGAAAGGGACTGGAGCATTATGACAGTCAAGTCTTTAAAAGCTTATGAGTTCCCAGAGTCCTTGCCGAGTAGCCGCTGCCTCCGCTGATGTTGTCGGATGTCAATAAAGAGAGGTTGAAGGCAACACTTCTAATGGAGGTAGAAACGAAATACTTGGAAAATACCAAGGATTTTCCTGTTTTCATTAATAAAAAAAATCACATAGGTGCTTAATAGCTTGGTAGACACTTGAGATGTGGAACTCTAGAGACAATCACTAAATTCACCTGTATTTTCTGGCTTGACTTCTGAGGATTCTCTGGGTTGCTCTAACTAACCAGGGTGTTCTGGTCTCTTCAGCAGGTAACATCGAAAGGTGCTGGCTTGAACCCCAACGCAAAAGTGTGGCAAGAAGTGCCCCAGGGCAGCGGTGAGGCCGTGCCCCCCACCAATGGCACAGAGCACACGTGGCAGGAGACAGCAGCGGCCCAGGGGACTCCAGCCGAGGGTGAGCTGTTGGGACAGGGGCTGTGCAATGGCCTTTCGGGGAGTTCAGCTGTGAGGAGCAACCTCTGGCTCTTGTCCTTGAGGTTGTCGGTGCTGATGGAGCAATGTGTGTGAAAGGAGCATGAGAAGGTGGTTTTTAAGGGGTCTCAGCAGTGGGCTTTGGTGCAGGAAGGTGTCTGAGCTCTGCTGGAACGAGGCTGAAGGGGCCCGGTGATGACCGAGTAACGCGCTAAGAGGGGAGCTGGGTGCTGAGTGTGGATTCATGACATTGCTGCACTTGAGCATCCACTGGACCCTGTGAACAGGAAAATGATTTCTGAGGGCCACCTGCAGTCCAGGGGAACCCAGGTGCTGCTGAGAGCTGTCAGGAACATTTGTTCTGTGCAGTATCCATGGTTAACTCCTTTCCATTCAGGCTGTTCCATTCCCATTCCCATCCTCACCACACAGGCAGTGCCCAGAATCCAACTGGTTTCACTTCAGCTCAGACTCAATCCAGGGTGTAGCTGAGGTGACTCAAAGCATGGCAGAGGATGCAGAAGATTCCCTGCAAAATAGTCAAAGTTAGGGATAAAGAAGGGAATATTCAGCTTGTGTGGCCTTGTCAAAGGTTTCTGGTAAGTCAGCAGAAGTGAGGAGAGAGCGCTGGGTTTGTGCTTTGCCTGACAGAAACTCATTTGTCTCTTCATAACAAAGTGAAGCAATTGAGGCAGTGTAAGCAATTTTCATCCCTTGTTTTTAGGAACCACGCGTAAATATTTTGGATTTCATGTGGAAAGACTGGTTTTTAGATTCTCTGCCACTTTGGGGATCAGTTTCAGGATCCTTTATTTACTTTTTCCTGAGAGCCTAGTGCAAACCAGATCTTCCTGAAATCAGAGAGGTGTAAGTTCTATCCAACACAAAGTCTAAGAAATACAGGCTAAGGTTAGACACTCTCAGGTACAGGTTTCTTGAGTATGTTTTAATGTTGGTAGCCAGAATTTTTCAAATACACTGAAGCTGACAGGAGTTTTCCTGCTGCTGGTGTGTTCCTTTGCCAGGTAACATAGAGATCTCAGAAGACAGCTGCAAACAGTATGAAGTGATGTATTCCCCATCCTGTGAAGCCACAAGGAATGGCACAGGAGTTGATGAGGCGTCAGCAAATGGAATTGTCCTGGCGACTGAAGATCTGGGATACCAAATCTATGAAGTGTCTGGTGAGTGCTGAAGTTGAAATGCTGCTGTCAGTGTCTGTAACCCCCCTGGAGCTGCTCTGAGCGTGGTGTGACCAAGTTGGAACTCTGACATGTCCACATTTATCCAGTAGGTTCCAGTATGGCCTCAACACGTGGCCCAAGAGGTGCAAAGTGGGATCAGAGTCATTTTGGGAGTGTGTGGTTTGGGAGGCTTGAAGCATCTCAGATGAGCTTTTGCTACCCAGAGGGATTCATTCTTGTATTCTGCAATGAGATGTGTCCTTGCCTGGTCTTGTTGCCATGAAAGTGGGAGCTGATGGTGGGTGTGGTCCCTTTCAGGTGACAGCAGCTCCACGGTGTCCACAGAAGACATTAGAGAATGTTTGAGAAAACAGCTTGAATTCTGCTTCTCGCGGTAGGTGCAGCTAACTCAGCTTGGTATAAACCCTTCATTGAAATCCCTGGCAAATATCCCTCTCCTTGGCTTGATGGGCACCATCATCTTGATAAAAACACAAACCAAGATTTGCTGATGTGCTGCAGAAGCCCCGTGGCACCTTCCAGCTGTTTCAGTCCTGTCTGTGCATCTGTGTCCTTGATGAGGATGACTTCTGTGCTCCACAGTCATAAGACATTGAGATCATTCATTGTGTGGCACCAGAAGTCTTTTTGGCAGATCCTTTTTGCAGATCAATGTGTTGGGCACTGAAGTTTCATTAAGTGTTTTTAAATTATCTTACTCTGCTTTGTATTGATTTGCTGGGATTTGTTCCAGGAGAGAAAATCTGAGGGTGTTTTGGTTATGAATGGTACTGGTGAATATTTATTTAAGCCTGTGGTTATCTTCTTGTTTTGACTTTTCTCTAAGTCAGGTTTAGGCTCTTTATTAAATAATAATTTTATGTCTTTTTAGAGAGAATCTTTCAAAGGATCTTTACTTGATGTCTCAGATGGACAGTGATCAGTTCGTTCCAATATGGACAATTGCCAACATGGAAGGGATTAAGAAGCTGACAACGGATATGGACCTTATTCTTGAAGTTTTGAGATGTAAGTCTGGGACTTTATATCTGTATCAGCAGTACAAAGAATCCTTCTGTGCTTCAGAGGGACGTTGTAGTTTCTGAGCTGGTTATGGTTTGTTGTTCTGGGAAATGGTGACAGGAACTTTAGCAAGTAGGAGGCTGTTCCAAACTCCTGAATTCTCATTCTTGGTTCCAAGTTCCATGAGAGCCTGCTACTGCTGAGATGTGCACAATGTCCAAATTTCATACTTTATTTTCAGCTTCTCCTATGGTACAAGTGGATGAGAGGGGGGAGAAAGTCAGACCAAACCACAAACGATGTATTATCATCCTCCGTGAGATCCCTGAAACAACACCTATAGAGGTAAATAAAGAGAAAGGAAATAAGTAACTCTGGTGCTGGTTTTGGAAGGTGTCTTCAAGAGGGCTTCAAACAACACCATGAAAAGGTCAGCTGGTGTTTAATTGGATTAAACACGGATATTTTTCTTCTAGACCACATCACTAACTTTTTCCGCCTGGGTGCGTTGTCAAAATAGCCAAAACAAAAACTTACTGCCATTGTCCCTTCCCATTATTTACTGCTATTTTTACATCTTCTTAAGTAAACTTTTTTTTCCACCAAAGCTGAGCTAGCTTGGCTTTTCTGGAAGGAAGTTTGAACTGGTTTCTTTTCAGATCTGAAAATAAATCAGTCCAGGGCATAGCTTGGAAATCAGGCTGAAATTTTGTCACAGCAATAACTTTAGTTGAAGTCAGAGGGTTGTTTTGGCAGCAAGCAAGAAATGTTACTAAACATTTCTCATTCATTGAGCCCCAGCGTGAGCTGAGCTCGTTAATGCCCAAGGAGGGAGGATAATAAAATTCCTCCTGATACTTGGCGAACAGAATGATTTAGTTCTTTGTTTTTTAAAGTTGTAACGCAGGGTGTTTGTCTACCAGCGTTTTTAATGGGTTCTTTTAATGCAAACATGAGCAGCTGCTTGTCCCTCTCTTTACAATCTGATTATTGCAAAGCTGTCAGGTTGCCTTGACTTAGAAATATTTCATGGAATCATTGTTATCTCCGTGACTCTGCTGATCTAAAGCCACACTTTTCCTAACTGTTTCATATCAAAATATCACCAGGTCTACACAGGTCTTGATTTTCTTATCAGCTGAGCCTGCTCTGTTTTATCTTGGGAGCCCAGGAGGCTGAACTAGGCTTTGTGGGTTAAGAAGCAGGCAGAGGTTAATTTGGTCAGGGAATAAAAAACCATTCCTGGTCATGGGAGAGCAGCAGCTGAGGAGCTGGAGCATAAACTCAGGTCATTTTAGTGTTCACTGTAAAAGTGCCTTGAACTTCTCTCTCCCCAGGAGGTGAAGGCTCTGTTCAAGAATGAGAACTGCCCCAAGGTGATAAGCTGTGAGTTTGCTCACAACAACAACTGGTACGTTACATTCCAGTCGGACACAGACGCGCAACAGGTAAGGCTGCCTTCCTCTGGCACCACCTTCAATCCTGCCCCTGCTCAACCAAAGTGCACATGTGCTTCCTGTAGCTTAAAAGAAATATTTACTGATCCCTTTGTGTTGTTTTAAGAGATTACTGGCAGGTTCTGGTTAATAAGACCAAAGTTGAGAGATTGTGGGGTTATAATTCCCATACCTGGCTCTTGCCTCAGCCTTCTCCTGCCATGACTGGCACTAGAAACCTGAATTTGAAGTGTTAATGAGTTTAGCTGGGCTGACAGGGAAGCACATGACTGCAGATTTGTGTTAAATCATGGAACATCCTTTGGGAAGTGCAACTTTTATCAAGACATCCTAATGTTGATCTTTTCTTGTATCTGCAGGCGTTCAGATACTTAAGGGAAGAAGTGAAAACCTTTCAGGGCAAGCCAGTAATGGTGAGGCTTCTTTAGCTGTTGTTTCTGTTGGGATTGAATTGTGTTGTTTCTGTTTGGATGATGGTGAATCAGGGACTCAGCAGTGGGGTTGTCCATAAGTGGCTCTGGAGGCTGGAAACGTGAAGGAGGTCATGGGGAGCTCTGACAAATTGCAGCTCAGTGCCTGCTGGTTACTCACAGCGCTGCTTCCCAGGGGGGGTGAAATACATTCCTGTGCTGACTTCCCTTCTTCACTTGCCCCAGAATCTGGGTTTGCAGAGCTCAGGAGAGGGATTCCTGCCACTCTGAGTCTTGAGTTGGCTGCAGCACAAGGCAGGCTGGAGCAAAGTGCATGTGAGAGAGGAGCTGTCACGATTGGAGTCTGGACAGCTCGTGCTGCAGAAAGCAGCGTTTATCTCCAGTTTTACAGATCACCCAGCTAAAGCAACGTGTGTCCTTCCCCTTTATCATGCTGTGGGAATATGAGCTGGACCGATTCCATCAGTTTTTATTCATAAGCAGTAATTAACCTTCACATCCCGCCAGCAAGAAAGATTCCACGTTCTCCTTTTCCCCCAGCTAACTCACGCTGCCATTTGCTGTCTTGCAGGCCAGGATAAAAGCCATCAACACGTTTTTTGCTAAGAATGGTTACCGGGTGGTGGATTCCAGTGTGTATCCCCAGCCTGTGCAGACCCAAGCCCAGTTTGCCTCCCCCCTGTTTATGCAGCCTGTATATAGCCCTCAGCAGTACTCGATTTACAGCATCGTGCCTCAGACGTGGTCTCCAAATCCTGCACCTTACTTTGAGACACCACTGGTGAGTAACTGCTGAGAAGGGCAGGAGGAGCCCAGCCCATCAGGGGAAATTTGGTTAATAAGCACGAGAGTGAGTGGGAATTCCAGGTTTTTTGGTCAGATCTTTGTGTTTTATGACACTCGTGTCACGGCCCTGATAAAGCAGCACTGTCAGAGGAGCTGCCACGTATTTCAAGGAATTTTGGTGTGAAATTCCATTATCATGCAGGCTGGAAGAGCCCATAGCTTTTCCAGGAATAGGGGAACTCTGCTAAAGCAGATGCAGAATGGGAACCTGTGGGGATTTGGCTGGAGCAGTGAGTTCACACCACAGTAGATGCTGTAGCCCAGTGTGAAATTACAGCCATGAGTAACTGCTGAAGCTGATCATTAATCTGCAGAAGTTTTCTTTGTAGCTCAGCCACTGAGACTGTTGTGTCTGTTGCAGGCCCCGTTTCCCAACGGTGGATTTGTGAATGGCTTTAATACACCAGGATCATATAAAACAAATGCTGCTTCTCTGAGTATAGGTCGCCCATTCCACAGGAATCGGTAAGAGAGTTCTGCCAGGTGTTTACTCCTGCAAAACTTACAGCACTGAGATCCTCAAGTGTTCCTTGCATGTCACATGCAGTGCTGATAGGACCACATTATTTAGTTTTATCAAATATGTGATGCTTTCCAACTTCATTAAGAAAAATGAAGTAGAAGGTGGTATAACTTAAGATCCTAAAATAATGGACACAGTGCTGGAGGGAGCAGAGGTAACTCCTTGAAAAGCCTCAGAGGAATTTTTGCAGACAAATAAATAACTTCCTCCTAGGGTCATACTCGTAATTATGTTTGTTATACACAGATTATAAACTCCTGCAGCACAACATAAGCCTTTCCTGCTGGGATCAGGCTTGTGGAGCTGCTGGTTCCTGCAGTGGGAGTTGCTTGTCCTGACTGCTGCGTCCAACTGCTCGATGCTGGGGCTGTTCCTGTAATTTATTTGCTTTATCCCCATCTTTCCTGTGAATTCTTAAGGACTTAGCTCAGATATAAACACAGGGGAGGAGGAAACGCTTCGTATTGCTGGAGCAATTGCTCTCTGAATACAATGGAGTAGTAACCTGTGTGTGGGGTGGGAGTTGTTTGTGTGCAGCACAGGGCTGGGATCATGGGAATTGTCGCTGGTTTTGTTGGAGAAATCAGTTGACAGGGCTGTGAGTGGGTTTGAGCTGCAGTTCAGGTCTCTGGCTGTTGGCAGAAGGGGAACTTGAGGCTTTGGTCTGTGGTGACTCAGCAGAGTCTTAGCTCAGACTGTGGAGCTGGGAGCGTGACTCTGCCTGCTCCACTTGCAGCTGCTCAGCTCCCAGCTCACATCTTGACAAAGGTGGTTTGACTTTTTTTCTTTATTTTAAATTGTGCACAGTCCTAAAAACCTGTAAAGTTCTCAGGTCATGGAAGTACACATGCTGCAAGAACCGTGTGTATCCAAGTACCCTGAAATGCCTCCTTGTACATCACATCTGCACATCCCTAAGCTTTTTAAATCCTGGTTATGTAAAGATTTCAGTTTGGGTGCTCGAGGTTGCAGCTTTGGGGTGAGGCTGTGCAGGTCCTGCGGGCCCAGTGATGATCCAGTATCGCGCTAAGAGAGAACAGGTCACAGTTGGGGCTGGGCAGCCTGTGCTCCCTGCTTCTCCTTCCTCCTGCTCTTCCTTCCTTCTGCTCTCACATCATTTCTCCTTCTCTCTGCTCTTTTTTTTCCCCCCATCCTTTATCTTTCCTTGTCTTTTCTGCTTTGCTCTTCTGCCCAAACAAGACTGTGGCCTTCTCGATGACGGGTAAGATTATGAGATCTGAGGGCTGAACAGTGACTTGAGAATGTGCCATTTTGGACAAAATGGAACAATTTGGCTGACTTTGTTCCACCTCCTCCCTGTGGTTTTTTTGCTGATGGGAAACTTAAAACTTTATTGGGCCCTTAAAACTGGTTCTTGATGCTTCTTGAAGCTGGGAAGTGTGAATTTTATCTCTGTTCAGCAAAACCTCCTCTTGAACTGCAGAACAGCGTGTTTGGAGAGTTCATCCAGCTGCTGCTTTTGGGTTTCTGTCCTGGCCCATTAAATCTGGTTTGTTTTGTGGTACAGACAGTTAATAGTTAAGCGCTGAAGTTTTTCTCTGTAGCTAAACATTTGTTTAAGCCACTCGTATTTATTTTGTGCTGATTTGTTGCAACATCCTTGTGGGAAAGGATGGACAATCATACTTTGGTTGGTACTTGGAGAGTTTCTTCTGATTTCATGGAATGTTATAATGAGATTGTTTAAAAACAACCAGTGTGCAAAATCCTCCTGCTGTCCTTAAATTATGAGATGTGCAGAGTTTACCAAAGGAGAGAGAATTCAGGGTTCTTGTCTTTGATCAGTGCTGCATGGAAAACCAGTGAGGGACAAAAGTAGAAAACAGTTGAAGACACTTAAATGCTGCTCCAAAAAAGTGTTCCATCACACGGATCTGAGGTTTTCTGGAGAATTCTGCATTTAAGACCCTGAACTTGCAACAGCACTGAGTGTGCAGAGCTGTGTCAGTGCTCAAAGGAGTCACAGCTTTAATGCAGAATAATCAATACCGGGGTGGAACATTTGGGGGTTGGGAGCTGCAGGGTCAGTGCTGGGGGTTTGGGATGGCAGCAGCCAGGCTGAGCATGGTAGGGCTCAGCTGGCCTCATCTGCCACGTTCAGTTACTCCTGGCCTTGTGTCTCACTTCAGTTTGTTTGCCTGTGCCCAGATCAGTCTGTTCCTTAGCCTTGGCTTGTTTCTCCAGCTCCATTTCCAATGCCCTGTGCCAGTGCTGCAGGCCCAGACAAAGGAAAAATTCTTCTTTGGCTTCTTCTGGCTCTTCTGCAACACCTGGCTTTTGGGATTATTTTTTTCCAGTTGTTTGAGGTTTTGGGGGTTTTTTTTCCCCTCCTGGGTATCTTTTGGGCAGCAATCTCAAACAGGAATTCTGGTGCTTGCTGGCCTGCTTTTCTTGTCAGCTGTGGCTGAGCTGCAGTTCCTGAGCACTGGGGTCCCACAGCTCCCGCTCTGTGTCTGCAGGGTGAAGCCCCATTTCCGCTCCTCCAGCAGCTCGGAGCACCCCGAGGGGCCGCCCGGCGCCGGGGCCCTGCCCATGGGGGACCTGAGCAGGACCAGCTCGAGGAATTTCGTCATGGAGAGACACAGCAGCTCCTTAACTGGGCACCAAGAGCAAGGGTACTCCCAGAAGGATTCTCCCACGGCACAGCTGGAGCAGAACGGCGATTACGGCGTCGGCAGGGGCAGGTAAAGGGCTGTGTCCTGTGTTTGCTGTCACACAGCAGCTGGGGCTCGGCTTGGGGGAGCCAGAGATATCAACCCCCGGCACAAAATACACCTCTGTAAGGAGCAGCCACCAGAAAACTGATGGTTAAGTAAATCAGGAGCAGTAAATGCTGAGCTGGGAGCAGGAATGGTTCCAGTTTCACTCTCACGCTGGTAGTTACTCTGACAAACTGGCAGTAAGACAGTGAGGTGTCTTTATTTTAAAAGAACTGGTTTGTCCCCAGAATTGAAATAGATGCTGAAGTAAAGTTGGCATCTGTATTACTGTAAGTAATAAGTAAATCCTTGGTTAGGAATTTGATGCTCCTCAGTATTTTAAGATGAACTGGTTTTATCTCTTTTCTTTTAATTCAATGTTTAGACACCTGAAAGAGCAGATCAGTGAGAAATCAGACTCATAATAATAAGTTTATTACTATAAAATAATAGTCCCTGTGCTTGGTCACATGCTCATGCAGGGAGCTGAGAAAGAGAAGCTGTTCCAATATTAACTCTGTTCCAACTTTTCGCAAAGCTGGAGCTTTGACCCCTCCTGAGGAGGGAGAAGATGCCAGAGGTGTGTGTGGGGAAGGCTCAGCAGGCAGCTGTGGTCCCCTGGCACAGAGCAGTGCCCAGTGCAGCTGGGTGCATGCACTGACTGCTGTTCTTGTCTTTCAAGGAGGAACGTGTTCAGGGGTCGGAGGAGACGGGAGGACGAGCGGGTTTCAGTAAGTTCTGCTTCCCTTTCTGCAGGGAGTCACACAAAGTGCAAGTGTTGGAGATTCCTTCCCAGTTATCGAAGGAATGGCAGAGCCCTAAAATCCTCAGATTGCATTGGGGATTTACAGTTTTTCTGGGAAGTTCCCTGACATTTGCTCAGGGCTTCCAGTGCTCAGCGTTACAGCTCTAGTAACTTGTGTTTTCCCTCTCCAGAGACCTCAGCCTTCAGCAGAAACAAAGACTCAGACACCAAAGTTTGACTTGCTTGCGTCCAATTTCCCACCTTTGCCTGGCAGCACAGCAAAAATCCTGGGAGAGCCTGTGCTGGAGAGCAGGATGTCCGACATCGTTAAAGGAGTCTGCAAAGAGAAGGTGCCTGCTCTTGTCTCCGCACACACGCGGGCGTATCCGGGTGCTGTGACTCCCTCTGCCCTCTCAAAGGGTTCTTCTGTCAGAGCCACGTATTCCAGTGCTAAATTTAACTGGTTTGTTCATAGAAGAGTCAAATTTTCTGGTTTTTTTTGTGGGAATGCAGCTAGGGCTCGTGCAGTTACACTGTTGTGCACTCAGTGATGTTTAGGAATAAAGCAGGCAAAGGAGGAATGTTGGCTGCTGGAATAGGAACAGTTTGGAGTGTGGGCAAGGGATCTCTGCAGATGAATTCTGTGAGCTGGTGGGACTAAGCACTGATATTCTGGGTGATCCAGCTTTAGTTCTGGTTTTAACCACTCCTTGTTTTGCCCATATTAAAGAGCTATTGCTTTAGAAGTGGTGGTCCAAAAGAAGTAAAATTCCTTAAAATTCCTGTCATCAGGACTTGTGCAGCCTTTGGGACTTCCCAGATGTCTTGCAGTGCCACATTGCAGAGCAATTTGAGTATAATTCTGTATTTTGCAACTTCTCTGTGTGCAGGAAAGCAAAGACTCCCTGTCCCCCTGCCTGGCTCCTGCTCCGGACGAACAAACGCCCAGCGCTGCCCAACCAGCCGTGCCCAGCGTGAGCTCCCCGAGCCAGACTGAGCCTGTGGTGCTGAGGTACGCAGAGAACATGGACATGCCATGGGGTTGTGGAGTGTCCTGAGCTGGAGGGACCCACAGGGATCATCCAGTGCAGCTGCAGCTCCTGCACAGACCCCACAACAATCCCTGGAGCGCTGTCCCAGCACCCCTGGAGCTCTGGGAGAACCTTTTCCTGCTCTCCTGAAGCTCTGGAGAACCTTTCCTGCTCTCCCAGCCCTGCCCCAGCTCCAGCTGTTCCCTCAGCCTGGCCCTGAGCAGTGCCTGAAGCTCTGGAGAACCTTTTCCTGCTCTCCTGGAACAGTTTTCCACAGCAGAACCTTTTCTGTTCTGCAGCTGAACAGACCCAGAGCCCTCAGCCACTCCTCCAGAGCCTGCCCCATCCCCTTGTCCCTGCTTTGGTCCCTCTCCAGCAGCTTTAGATGTTTTTTTTTTTCATATTGTGGTGCCCAAACTGCCCCCAGGACTGGAGGTGAGGCCACCCCAGTGCAGAAGAGTGGGACAATCCCCTCCTCCACCTCTCTGGCAGTGCTGGACCTGATGTCCCCAGGGCCTGGTGACCCTTTGGGCTGCTGATTGATTTACATGTTCTAGCAAAGTCCCTCACCATTGTCCAGCAGTAATGTTGGGTGGTTGGTGTCTTCTCCAGAGGCCACCAGATGGAAAGAACAGCTCGTGTTCTGTTCAGGGAATGGCTGTGCTCTTCTGTTCTGCACTTGTAACATAAAGAAAGGAAATAATCTCTGAAGCATGAGTGTTGGTAGGTTTTAATTTGAATTATTGTTGGTTTATCAGCACGGTTCAGCCAGAGAGCAAACCAGAAGAAGTGTCTGCTCCGAAGGACGTGGCCAGCCCGGCTTCTCCGCCGGCATCCGTCTGTCCCACCAGTGCTGCCAAGCCACCGAGGACAAACACCTCCTCTCCTTCTGCTCAAACAAGCGCAGCTCCTGCTCTGTCCACACAGGTAAGGCCCAGAGCAGGGCACGGGAATGGCACAGGAACTTCCCTCTGCCCCGTGCCAGGCTGGGAGGTGTCTGTGGTGCATCAACCTCGCTCTTCTCCTTGCTCCCCAAGGAGCCACGCAAGCTCAGCTACGCCGAAGTTTGCCAGAAGCCTCCAAAGGAGCCACCTGCAGTCCCTGTGCAGCCTCTGAGGGAGCACCGCACCAACATCGTCCCCCCTGCCAAAAACGACGAGAACGGCACGTCGGAGAAGGCTCCGGAGAAGGCTCCTCACGAGAGGCCCGAAGGTCGAATGAAGGATTACTCCGGGTTCCGCGGCAGCGGGGCTCCCAGGGGAGCTGCTGCCAAAATCAGGGAACAGAGGCGCCAGTTTGGACGCAGATCCTCGCCTCAGGGAGCGCCGCGCCGCGCCGGCAAGGAGCAGTACGTGCCACCCCGCTCACCAAAGTAACGCTGGGCCAGCCAATGATTCTCTGTTTCACTTGAGCTGTGGACTGAAGAGCAGCAGAGAGACCGAGGAGGGAAGGATTCGGGAAGGGGAATACTGAACTGGAGCGTGGGCTTGTGTGGAGAGGTTGTGGAGGGTCCCAAAATTCATCTCTGAAAGTGATTTCACAAATGCTGGAGGATTCCAATCACTATAAATATAGAGATTATAATTTTTGTATTTTTGTTTTTAATTTGCAGAGGGTTTCCTGCTTGAAATCAGCTTTGGGATTGCGAAAGTAGCGTTTTGACAAAGTGAAAGAATACGAGTTGACAAATTAACCTGTCCCTCGGTGTAGGAGGAAAAAGGATAAGAGAATATTATTTTTGGAAAATGAGCATTTCTGTAAAATTAGAACTTTTTTTAACCTATTTAAGGTTTGGCTTGTGGGCTGGTGTGTCTGCCATGGATGGCCTGGCTTTGCAGAGGCCTCTGCAGCAGCATGAGCGGAGCGAGTGCAGCCAGAACCGTTGTCATCACTTAGTCACTGATGATGAAAACTGAATGTACTACTGTAGTAACCCATGTGTTTCCAGCTTGAAGTAGAGTCTCTTGACCTTACTAATATTTCATTCAGCAAGCTTTTTAAGGTGTAGGTTTTGCAGGATACTGGATTGTAGAGGAGAGTGCGTGGACAGCAGAAATCGTCTCGTAGACGCGGTGGAAGGAGGCAAAGGGAGCACGTGAGAATCTTTATTGTGCCCGTTTTCCCTGCCTCCTTTTGAGGGCGACTCCTTAGGTTTGGGGTTTTGTTTGTTTGCTTTTTCCCTCTCTTGTTACTTTCTCTAATTTCTTCATGACAGACTTTAGTGCATTTTTCTTGGTGTGTTTTCCTGAGGCAGCCCCAGGGTAGGTGCAGGAAGGGCAGGTGACTGCACAGCACCTGCACAGGTAAAGAGCCTGGAATTCCCGCTGCAGCTGTGGAATTCTGCCTTGCAGGTGGGAAGCTCTGGGCACTCACTGTCATCTCTTGATGACAAACCAGAGCTGTGGCTGGGTTTTCTCTGTGCTGACTCTGGAATGGGCTGTTGGCTGCTGTATTGCCAGAAATCAGGGTTTAGACTCCTGGGAACTCGTTGTTTACAGCTGATGTCATAGCAACTGACTCCTTTTTAACTGTTTAAAGTGGAACTAAAGATGCAGAGTTGAAGAAATCCCCCTTCTGTTCCGAGAAGCTGCTGGAGCAGTGGCTCCTTGCCAGCTGTGTGCTGACTGAATGTGCAACACTATTGTGCAGTAAGTGGTTAAGTTTCAGGGTGATTAATGGAAATAGGAACATTCAGCGCATTAATCTGCCAAAATCAGCATACCAGGGTTCAAAGTTCTGTATAAAGCGTTAGGGAAAAGCAGCTTCCAGCAGCAGTAAGAATCACATCTTTATTTTTTCCTCTTTTTTTTTTTTTTTTTTTTTTTAAAATTTTTTTTTTTTTTTTAGTGAATAGCAAGTGTACAAATTTAAAGTTGTAAGTTGTGAACACTGGAAAACTCAATTGTGATATATTCCGTAACCATCTTAGTAATATATGCTCGTGTTGCCATAGAATGAATGTAAGTGGCAGTTAAAATAACTGTGAAATTTTTTCATCTTCTGATTTCTTAGCCAGATAACCCTTGGCGACTTGGGCCTCAGTAGGAATTCTCTATCAACTGCTTGGAGAACACTCATATCTATTTTTATAAATATATATATAAAGCCAGAGTTGTCATTTCTCTAACTTATTATTCAGCTTGGCAATTGCTTTGAGTTGATTCATAACACAATATAATGTATTTATGCAGTTAACTGTTCATTTCTACGCATGTTCTAAAGAGAGAGAGAATCATAGAATGGGCTGAGTTGGAAGGGACCCATCAGGATCGTGGATTCCAACTCCTGGCCCTGCAGACACCCCAATAATCCCACCCTGTGCCTAAGAGCATTGTCTAAATTCTTCTTGAATCAGACAGGCTTGGAGCTGTGAGAAAGGATCTTTTCCTGATATCTCCCACCTCAACCTGCCCCAACTCAGCTTCCTGCCATTTCCTCGGGTCCTGAAGTATGTACACATATATATTTATATATAAAAATATATATAGATACATGTATTTATATATATAAATATATATAGATAGATATATAGACCCCAAAATCACTATTCACTTTGAAACTACCTGTACTGGGTTTGGGAGGTGTTTTGTTTTGTTTTGTTTTTAATTTAGTGAAAAAAAAAAAATATCTTTGATCACATCCACAGTTTAGGGATTCTTACAAACCCTTCTCTGTTTATTTTGATAATGCTACTCTTGTTGGAATGATAAGGAAGTTTAAACATTTAGTATCCAAAGTCCTGAAATGCAACGAATGCCAAGTTTAATTCATTTTAAAGGCTCTAAACAATTCCTGCAGCCAAACTGGAGCAGGAAAGCCTGCAGGATGGTTCATGGGTGTTTAGGACGTGTTCTGGGACGTTGAGGAAGCTTTGGGATGCTGACAGTTTGAAGGAGGGATTGGGAGAGAAGGGGCTGGTGCAGATATTGCTCAGAATTCCCTGATCCAGTGTCAGTGACTTGTGCTGAGAGGACCTGAAGGGTGAAATGGAATTTTGTCATGGATGTGGGGGAAAGCCAGCCAGCTGTGGCTCCATCTTCCTCGCAGGGTGATGGGGAAGGGCTGCTCCGAGCCCGGGGTGCTCCCACAGCAGCTCCTGCCTCTGGGGCAGGGCTGAAGGTCAGGCTGGAGCTCTCAGCTTCCCCCAGCAGATCCAAACTTCTCTCAGCTTAGCTCACTTGGAATGATTTGTTTCACACCTGAGTGCAAGGATTTCACCTGAGCATTTCCCTTCCACCATTTCCAGCTGTGGTTTGGGGTTGGTTTGGTTTTTTTTTTTCCTTTCTATTCTTTTCTGTGCAGGGGGAAATTCCCAGCTGGAGGCTGTGAAGCTTTAGTGGGGTGGGAGTTCTCCCCAGCACTGCGACCTTGCCTTTTCCTCCCTGTGCTGGGCTGGGGAAGCATCCTGTGTGTGTCCCCACCAGTTTACCTGCTGGGCAGACTGGGCAGACTGGGGCAGAGGGGTGGTTTGGGGGCAGAGCCGCTGCTGGGGCAGCTCCTGCACTGATGGCAGCGAGGTTTCTGTGTCAGCAGCGCTGTCCCTGTCTGTCCCTGTCCCCAGCCCCAAGTGACCACAGCTCCCCGTGCTCCCCTCTGGCTTTACCCTCACGGGGTGCAAATCCTCCTGCTCTGCTAAGATCAGATAGCAGGAGGTGCAAATCAAAGAGAACTTTCAGTTTTAGGAACTGTGACTTGTTTTCAGAGTTGTTGACTTCCATTAGGGACAGAAATACATTTCCCAGCTGGGTTCTTTTCCAAATTGGGTGGAAAAGATTGGGGCACGCTCTCGGTGCTTCTGCTGGGGAGTGAAAAGAGGAAATTCTTTGCATGTGATAGTAAAATTTAAAAGTGCAAAAAAGGTTTTGTTTCTTTTGATTTCTAACATTAAGTTAGTTTTATAGTATCTTACATTCCTGCTCTTGTTGTTTTGTTTTTGTTTTTTTTTTTAATTAGCCTGGCACAGTATGATGGTGCAGTTTTAGCTGTAGAAAAAAAAAAAAGAAAATTAAAAAAAAAAAAAGTAACCCACTATTAACCAGAAGAGAAAGGTGATACTGTGGCAGATCAGTAGCAAATAAGTGACTTAATCAATGCTTTACTGTAGTTAAATAGCTATGGCCTTACTACTTTGTCAATATCAGCTTAATTGTCTTGAAAACTGTCTGCGATTTTTACTGTTCCCAGGTGAGTTTACCTGGGCTGAGATATCTGGTATGTACAGATGATATTTTAAATTTGTAAAATGCACCATTGTATTACAGACGATGCAACAGAAATGCACTTCGGGGGGAAATGGCTTCTGATGAGTTTTTTTGTAAATCCTTGATTACTACAGATATGCAATAGAGTTTTTTTGTTTCTAATTTTGATATTTCCTTCTGAAACGTAAGATTGTTGCCATTAATCTGAATGATTTATCATGCTCTTCTTTGCGTGTATATATTCCATATAGTCTGAGCTTCCTTTAGGATGGTATATAATTTTGGGTTGTTGTAGTATTTTAGTTGGCTCTTCAGTGCCTTTAGCACAGGCACTTCAAGAGGTTCATTGAGTCTGTTTTTAATGTACAGTTGGGAGGACTTGAAATGGAGTTAAAGCAACTTATTTCTGAGAAAAAAAAAAAAATCCATCTGCAAACTAACCTGTAACAACTTTAAAATTTTATATTTAAGAACCAGATGTTTATTTTTATGGAACTTCAGTTATGGATACAGTTTCCAAAAAAAAAAAAAAAATGCAACTTCAAATGTAAACAGACTGTGCATAAATGGGTTTTGTTCTAATTTTTATAGAATACAAAATATTCAGATAATATATTGAGCTCGAGTTACTACAGACATCTTGTTCCTCCCGGATGAATCCAGCTTCCCCTTGGCATTGACGATCTCTCTTCAAAGTGGTAGGAAAAGGAGAAAAAAGCGATTTATCTGGCTTTTAGACTGTCTGTTCTGGTTTATTCCTGTTGTCAAAATGTCCAAAACAAAATTTGTGTAAAGTAGGTTCATGCTTTAAGTGTTCAAATGATAATACATGTATTTGTATTTGTTTTTGACATTGCCAAGGTGCTATGGGAAATTGAAATAACAGTTAGAAAAATAAAGCTGATTTAAAAGAGAAAAAAAAAACAAAAAAAAAAAAAAGGAAAAAAAAAAAAGAAAAAAACCTTAAACCACAACTCCCTGAGTTTTGTGTCTTGGAGGTTGGGAATGTTTTTAGTGCTGGTAGTGGGAGAATGGGGATGAGGGTTGGGCTCAGGGATTTGTGACAATTCCAGAACGCCTGGATCCCGATCCCTGCTCCAGCAGGGTCAGCCCAGGGGTCTGGAATGTGCCAGGGCCGGAGAGCTCGGCCCTGCTCACGGCAAAGTTCCGATGTTCGGCTGCAGCTTCCCGGGGCCCGGTTCCGCCCGGTTCTGCCCGGTTCCTCCCGGTTCCGCCCGGTTCCGCCCGGTTCCGCCCGGAGCGGGGATTTGGGGCCTGGGGCTGGTCCCGGCTCCGCTGGGGTCACCGCGGGCCCGGGATGGGAACCGGGGACAGAACCGGGACTGGGGATGGGAACCGGGGACAGAACCGGGACTGGGGATGGGAACCGGGGGCAGAACCGGGACTGGGGATGGGAACCGGGGACAGAACCGGGACTGGGGATGGGAACCGGGGACAGAACCGGGACTGGGGATGGGAACCGGGGACAGAACCGGGACT